TGAACAGGTTTAAACCCAAACTCGGCCCAAAAACCGTCAACACGAATTTTACCCGCGTTGACCGGGTTGGGTCGGGTGGGTACCCGTGGGTTCGGGTTTTGTTGCCATCCCTACTTGCAACCGATACATTGCGGGATGGTTTAGCATGGTTACTTAATTTTCAGTAATCACGGTGGCTACCAAGATCTACACCCTTTATTATCTCTATTTTAAGCTATTTTTAAATTAACGATAAAGATTATAATAAGGGTAATTTTGAAAATGAAAAAAATGTCACACCTAATTACTCTCTATATTGTATCCAAACCCTAATCCTACTACAACTCACCCACCCTCTTCCGCTGCATCTCGCCGGCCGCTACCCCTCCCACGCCATCCTACCATCACCCTTCCTCTGCTACCTCCCGCCGCCCCAAACGCTCCTCCATTCCCACGACCTCTCTCTCTCACTTAGCGGCGGAGGTATAAATGACGGCCTCCTCCATTTACAAATGACGACCTCTCCATTCCCACGGCCTCTCAATCTATCAGACTAATTCCCACGACCTCCTCCATTTACCATTACAAGGTCTCTCTCTCTCTCTCTCTCTCTCTCTCTCTCTCTCTCTCTCTCTCTCTCTCTCTCTGAAAGGCTCTGAGATCAAAATGAGACGGAACCAACAGGTTTACTAAGTCAGATTAACGTCTGTACTTTTCTTTCCCTTCTTTCTGTTAGAGAGCCTGGAAAGGGACGAAAAGGAAAGGGGGAAAGCCGGAGTGAAGTGGCCAAAAGAGTCTTGTATGAAATGAAATTGCTTGTTAGGAGCTTTGGAGCGATAGCAGAAGCGAGAGGGTAGATGAGCTCGATCGTAGGGAGAGGATAAGAAAGTCCCGTTCCGTTGGCTGGACTAAATGTACTAAAGGTAGCTTCTTTCCTGTCTTGCTTTCTGTCAACCAGTCCGATCCGTTTCTAAAAGTCCTTGTCAACAGGTCCTAAGATAGCTTCTTATGCTCCCCTCTGAAAGGTCTAGGAGGCCGATGTTAGTAAACAAAAACGTGAGTTTGGAACACTCCCTTGCTGAAAGCTTACCTGAAATCAAAGGCAATCCCAAATACCGAACAGGCAACACTCCTTCCTTGGATTTACTTTTTTGGTAGTGGTTTATTTGTTTTGTTTTATGAAATGATAGTTTTGTTTTTCTTAATGGTATTGATTTATTTATGCAATGGTATTGTTTTGACATTTGTAATGATATAGATTGTTTATATTGGTATTTTGAGTATAATGGTATTGTTTTTCCTAATGGTATTGATTTATTTCTGCAATGGTATTGGTGTTTTCCGAATTGGTAGTGGTTCTAGCGGATTGGTATTAATTTAAATCTGCAATGGTATTGATTTTTTGTGAAATGGTATAGATTTATATTGGTAGATTGTTTATATCGGTGGCTTTCGTGTAATGGTATAGATTTATTTCTGCAATGGTATTGATATTTTTCAAAATGATAGTGGTTGTCTAATGGATTGGTAGTGATTTCGTGTTTTTTTTTCTTTTGCAAAAAGATTGAGAAAAAACAAGGAAAGGAGATCTGACTGGAGATTATGGAAGTGAGAGAAAGAGAGAGAATTGTAATTAATAGATTCTTGTAACTATCTAAAATGTAATTTATTTAAAAAATTAATTAATACAATTTATTTTTCATACCCAATTTATCCGTAATAACCACGGTGATTACTACATTTGTAGTAATCACCGTAACCTATCCCGGTACATTGCCTATGACCCAATGTTGTCAAAAGCGAACCGGAGTATGACCCGATAATGTGAACGACTCGGTCTTTAGCGGTCCAACCGACATTAAACCGTTTAAAAACCGTTAAAAAGCCGGTACCGAATAAATAATCCGTATAAATAGTGGACACTTATTAATCATGATAAACCATGACTAAATTAGTAAATTACAGTCTTAACTCTTAACAATTCAAAAACATAAGTACCAAAAGTTCAAGGAGCAGGGGGCTGCTTACGACAATGGCGACGGGGACAGAAGCGTCGGGAGCCGGGAGCAGCTTGCTACGACAAGGACTGGCGATGGCAAGCTGCTTGCGGCGATGGCGACGGGACGAAAGCGGTGGGAGCGGGGAGCTGCTCGCTACGACAAGGCGATGCGATGGCGAACTGAATGAGGATGGCGATGCCGTCGGGAAGCGCCGACGCTGGGACAAGATGGTTGACGGCGACAAGGTGGCGCCGCTCTCCCTCTGTAGTCTCTCCCACGATTGGCCTTCTCGATTAATTTTTTTTTTTTTTAGGTAAACTAAACGGCCGAACCGCGCGACCGGCTTTAGCGCTCAAGCGGTTAACCGCTTCGGCCGCTGTATAAAGCCGTAGCGGTTAAATAGCTGATCCGAGCCGGTTTTACGATCGGGTGACGGCTTTGACGGTCCGACCGGCCGGCTCGGTTCGGCTTTGACAGCACTGCTATGACCATTAGGTGCCCGACATCATTATTCCAGAAAACCCTAAGTAGCGGTAAATTTACCTATGGTCATGAGGAGGTGGCCAATTAATTACTTAATTCATAAAAGAAGCTATTAATGCACATGAGATGGTAATTAATTCCCAACTCCTCACTAATCCAATTTCCACTAATGTGAATGGGCCAATTAATTTGCTTTTGTCTAGCCCCATATCATATGCATGCCGCAGCTGTCTAGCCCATTGTTGGCCTAAATTACACAGATGAATGGCGGGTTTGTGGCAGCAGCAAGAGAGAGCACCAATTGAGGAAATCAAAACACACCGTTACATTAAGTTGAGATGCAAAATGATCAAACTGCCCTTCCGAAAAGTGCTCAGAGGCCAGCAAATTCAAAATGCTGAAAATTCAAGCTTTTATACATTTTGTAGATTGTAGATTTGTAGCGTGGAACTTCCCACATGTGGTCGTTTTGGGTCGAAACTAAACCTGAGTACCTGACCAGATAAAAACATTCTTCTTTCCCGGTAGAATAGTACTATAAACATTACCAATTTACCTTCGAGTATATATACCAAAGCACGTGTATAGTAGGGTTGGGAATCTAGACCCTTGGGAGTACGTATCATATGACTTGGTCAGGACCGTTAGACCAGAACTATAGTCTGATATGGTTTATGGCCTCTTTTTTAGTGTATAGTTTTCGATCGCCCCCAATTCACATACCAAGCCAGAATACTTTTTATTTATTAAAATGGAGAGATCAAATTGCAACATGTCAATGAAAATAATGGTATCTAAACAAAATTAGTTAAGAGTTTAAATGTAATTGAGTGGTCACCTAAACCAAACCAATAAGTACTAGAGTACCAAGGTGTCAAACTTTTTTTTTTTGGTAATTATGAAGTTTAGTGTAGATTTCGTAATTGGAATTAGATTATTTATAGATGATTTTACATAAGTAGTAATAATTAATTGCCTTAGAAGCTAGCTTTTTAATTTCTTTTTTAGACTTTTGATATCCAAATTTTATGACTATATTTGGATTGGGTTTGCGTAAAAAATTATGCATTTTTATTTGTTTTTTAAGTTGGTTATCTTTTCAACTTTCCCGTCTACGAATGTCACTTTTCTAATTTCTCATCCACTCTCCTCTTCTCACTGTCTCTAAGTTCTTCTGACAAATTAGTATTTGTGTTTCTGATTTGCCTACTCTTCCTTTTATGGGTTTTGATTCTGACTTAATTTCTCATTCTGGCTTAATTTTTCAGTTGCATACACACTATAGCGAGAATCCATACAATGGGGGCCAAGGGAGGCAGGCATCGTAAAAAGGCATCGACCGAGCATCAAAGTGTTTGAGATTGTTGGGTTTAGTGGCTTTGAAATGGAGAGTGATTTATTTTGTTGAGTATGTGATGGAGTACTTTGTGGGGTTAGAGAGACTAGTGATTGATCGGGGATTGGAAGCTCCTTTCTTTTCTTTTACGATGGAGTGACTTTTAGCACTAGAAAAAGTAGAGTTTGCAGCGAGGAACAAGCCTACACAGCCGAGAAGCTCACTTTGCAGTACAAGTCTAAAGCTCCCCCGACCCTTGAATTTGCTGTGATTTAGTTGCTGTTTTCAATCTACTATTATTGCTACTATTATCTATTATTAGGCAAATTATTATTGTTGTTGTTATGTGCGATTGGGGAATGTGATCATACGAATTTGTTTCTGGTAGCTGGTGGTGTTGTGATGGTTTGGTGGCATCGACGCTGGATGGGTTTGTCGTTTGCTGTAGGCTAGGGTTCGTAAATTGGCTCTCGTTTACTGTTTTGTTTGTCGGCTCTCAATATCTTGTGTTGGGCTTTCTTTACTTCCATGGACCTCGGCTCAAACTCTGTATTTCCTTAAAAAAATAGGGTTAATATTTCTCTATGACTTGAACTTTGACCAAAATAAACGTTTTGGTCAATTTTTTCGATCTATAACATTCTGGACTGAACTATCTATCAAAATAAATAATTTGGCCAGATTTGACTTTTGACCGTTAACTTGGACGGTTAAATGCGTTGACTAACGGTCATGCGTTGACTAACGGTCAACGCGTCATGTTACTGTCAACTCAGCAAATTGCAATTAATTATTTTTTTAATTTACACCTATTTCCATTTTCTTTCCTTTATCAATTTGAACAAAAAAAAAACACACATTTTCAATTTCGGGACAAAACGCACGCCGCTTACCTTACCGGGGGTCTGTTGGGTTTGATCCCGAAATTGAATGTTTTATTTTATTTTTTTCGTTCAAAATGATAAAGGAAAGAAAATGGAAAGAGGTGTAAATTAAAAAAAAAGTTGATTGAAATTTGTGGTATATGTATATTGCCGCCCCATGCCGGTTGTCCGGTCCGGCGGAGTCTGCAGAGACCACAAACAGCTAGCTCAGCTTGTTGATGATTTCAACGGAGCAACCCTGATAATTACCAAGACAAAAGATTCTGCAATCAACAGTACCAAAAGTTGCTATAAAACGAGAGGCCTTGCTGAATCAAAGTCCATCATTCTCACAACACAAACACATCTATCGATCTTCTATTTTTGCTTAGCTAGCTCATTTTCTTTTGCTAGCCATGGCCTTGTTTGCAAGCAAGAACAAGAAGATGGTGGTGTCGATGATCGCCGTCGTTGCCGCTTTGGCTGTTTTCGCTCCCATGATGGCTTCGGCGACGCAATACGTGGTGGGCGATGGAAAGGGTTGGACCAAGGACTTTGATTACTCCGCTTGGACCGCCGGCAAGCAGTTCTTCGTTGGTGACTCTCTTGGTAAGTCTTAACTGTTTTTATATTGTCAGGAAGTGGTTAAGATGAACTATACATGAACTTCTGTCAATAATTCGAGTTATTGGAATCAACTTGTTTATGACATTATATTATAGCCAGTTTGTATTTGAGGTCATGTGTTCAATTCCTCACGATTCCAATAGTAATCATTGTCTTAAAAGCACATAGTATGATGATGAGTTTGTGTAAATTTCAACTCCGTAAGTTGACATTCGTTTAGAGACGTATAAAAAAAATATTAAAATCTATACATCAATCTGTTCCAACAAATCGAATTATTGTTATCAGTTAATTTATCACATGTATAACAACTCGTTTCAAGCTATTCTTTGTTGGTGACCCCTTTGGTAAGTGAATGTTAAACTTAAAGCATTAATATTGTCTGTGCGTATTGCAGTGTTCAACTACCCAGCAGGGAAACACAACGTGTTCAAAGTGAACGGCACAGATTTCCAGCAGTGCTCCAAGCCACTTGTCGGCGCTCCACTCACCACCGGGAGCGATGAGATTCCGCTCAAAACCACGGGGAAGAAATGGTACATCTGCGGCGTCACCGGCCATTGCGCTACCGGCCAGAAGCTTGTCATCACTGTCCTCGACGGATCCGCCGCTCCGGCCCCGACTCCCGTCTCGCCATCAACTGGGGCCGCCCCGGGGAGCATCGTCAGTGCTGGGTTCGCTGCGGCCACGGTCGTCGCCGTCGGCGTTCTTGGGATGGTCATGTTTTGAATTTGATGAGTTGTGGTTTTTTGGAAGTGATAATAAATAGTAGTGACAGAATTAGTGGATTGTGTTGTTGGTGAGATCTGAACTGCTCAGAGGGTCTACTAATTCAGTGCTTTGTATTTTGAAGGTTTAATTTTCTTTCTTTTATTTAAAATAAATTAATTTACTTCCACCAAAAAAAAAATTAATTAATTTACTATCTGGCGGTGTAATGAGAGGAGAAACTGTTTCATCGATTGAATACAAGTGGAAGTTGTTGATTAATATCTTTTTTACTTATAGGGACTGGCAATAAATTATTAACATGGAGGGCTTGATTCCATGATAAAAAATCATCAAACCATTATAATAAACAATCAAATTGCTTTCCATGTCTTGTAGATTTAGGTAACAGAACTTTGTCCAAATATTTAGCTAGATCTAGGTTACAAAATTTTTTGCCACAAATGTGTATGTTATTGCTAGACCACTAAGACCAGTGACGCTGAAAAGAAGAAGTCCATAATGAATTTGTTAGTCAAATAAATAATTTCTGCTAGACCAGTGACAATGAAAAGAAGAAATTCGTAACGAATTTGTTAGTTAAATAAGGAATTTCGGTAAAAAGTACTAATAAAGTAATAATGGAGATGTGGGGATCACTCTATCATTTGAGTGATATATCCAAATCGGTTTAATTTGTGAGACGCCTAAACTACTAATACAGAAGAATATGCTTGCACCAAGGGGTAGAAGTATGCTATTGTAAGAAAAAAGGGGTAGAAGTATGCTAGCTGGATTGTTTATGGTGCCTAATAAATATGCTATAAAATTTAATTCATTAATAAACTCATGCTTACGAGAGTAGGTAAAATCACGTTATTCAAATTGTTTTCCATGTCTACAAATCGGTTTAAATTGTGAGACACCCAATCTACTAATACAGAAGCATATGCTTGCACCAAGGGGTAGAAGTATGCTATTGTCAAAAAAAAAGGGTAGAAGTATGCTAGCTGGATTGTTTATGGTGCCTAATAAATATGCTATAAAATTTAATTCATTAATTAAACTCATGCTTACGAGAATAGGTAAAATCACGTTATTCAAATTGTTTTCCATGTCTACAAATCGGTTTAACTTGTGAGACGCCCAATCTACTAATACAGAAGCATATGCTTGCACCAAGGGGTAGAAGTATGTTATTGTAAAAAAAAGGGTAGAAGTATGCTAGCTGGATTGTTTATGGTGCCTAATAAATATGCTATAAATTTAATTCATTAATTAAAGACATGCTTACGAGAGTAGGTAAAATCACGTTATTCAAATTGTTTTTAAGTCCAATGAAGAATTTGGAGAAAAAGTACTCAATAATGGAGATGCAAGGGATCGAACCCTGTACCTCCCGCATGCAAAGCGGGCACTCTGCCATTTGAGCTACATCCCCAATATTTTTAAGAAAAAGATTGGATCTAATTGACAAAACTTTGCCCAAAAAATTTAGGTGATTGCTACACAAACAAAAGTGAAAAGAAGAAGTCCATAATAAATTTAGGTAAAAAGTACTAATGATGGAGTTTTACGAGATTAAACCAGGTTCTTTGCAAATGCCAAGAGGAGAACATCGGTCACATTTTCTTTACCTGTAGTTTCACGGCTGAAGTGTGGAACCTGGTGCGGCGCTTCTTAACATATATTATGATTGTTTTGAGAAAACAATCTGTCACATCATCCTTTTCTAATCTCCTATCAATTCACTACTCATTTTCTTGTTTTATTGGACCAAATTTCCTTTTTCTTTTTTTATTGGGCTACGCAGAAATTAGGGGTGGGCAACGAGACGGGACGGGATACCCGGCCCGTTTGAAATGGGTACCCAGTCCCGTTTGGAGGATAAAGTCCATCCCATATCCCAAACCCTTAAAGCTTAACGGGTACCTGTTTATACCCACTAGGCTGCTTCCTTTCCGAACAGATGCTATCAGCGTCGGGGAGAAGGAGCTCAAAAATCCAACTCCAATTCTGTGGGTTGTGGCTGATTGCGGAATGGAGAGCGAGCCAGGAACAGGCAGCCAACCTTCTCGTCTTCTTCCAAGGGAGTGCCAGAGAAGAGTATCAGCCGGCAGCGGCAGGGGTCGGGTGGTCTTCTCACTTCTGCTGCCTTCGCAATTCAAATTGTCGCCCCCTGCCGAAACCCGAGTGTCGAGTGGGAGGGTCATGGTCCAGGTCTGCCGTTTGTGTCTAAGTGAGGGAGAGGCTACTGGCGAGGCCGAGACAAACTGTATGTCACTGAGAGGCAGAGGCTCGCTAGGTTATATCAGATTTGGCCTGGAGTGGGCTGACTGGTCGAAATGAAGAATGGGCTCGGGCTGAGGCGTTGGGCTGGGGCGCTAGGCTGGGGCTGGCCTTAAGCGGACTATTGTGGTAACGGGTATAATGTGTACCTGTATTACCCAAACGGGTACTCTCAGGTTACCGCGAATACCCATTGTTGACATTTACAATCCCAAGTCTCATCCCAAAATACCCGTTTCTCATTGCCCAACCCTAAGAAATATAGCTCAAATATGGGCCAAGTTTAAGTTGGACCGTGACTATTATTTACCGGCTGTGTTGGATTTATATATTAGGTTTTTTAGCTTTTAAAATCCAAGTTAAAACAAGATAAAGCCAATTAAAAAGTTTGGAAAATAAAAAGCTCTTTAATCTCACCCATTAGACCTGAACACACTTAAAATAAAAGGTCCATATTTGATTATGCAAGGGTTATGCACCCCAACTTGAACCGTTGGTTTCTTTTCATGCATTGATAGTTTCTGATAGGGCAAAAGCGTATATGCCAATTTCCTATCTCGTAGTAAACCGGAAAGTCCGGGTATCGTCTCTCAGGGACTGGTACAACCTTAATTTCTATCAATTCTATGGAGCAAACTATAAGTGAAAATGGTTTGGTTGATGAATTATTATCTAATAGCAAAATAATTAAACAAATCAAGCAAATTAAAATGGTTGGGAGAAAGCTCTGGGAGAAACACCGGGACTCGCTACCTATCCTATCCAGATTAATTCACATATTCCAATCAGTTTAATCCATATCTCTACAGTCAGGATATCAAGAATGTGCTAGCTATCCCTGTCGGGAATTACTACGTACTAAATAATCAATTCAAATCCTACTGTCGTAGCTCAATGAATTAACTATATAGTCTGAAGATCGATCTCCTAATCAAGACCGCATAGCACCTTATTTAATCCACTGTCGCTTCGATAAGTTACTATGTCACATGAAATATGTTCAGTTATTAGGGTTTCACTATCGCTAATAACCTAATTAACTACAAATCGATGTATTGGTGGCCAGTCAACACAAAGCATTAAGCAATCTCATGCAATAGAGATTGGAAGAAAAGAATCATAAATCAATCCATCAAATCAAGCAATAGCTACATCCTATGGTGTTTCCCCCAGAAATTGGGGTTTAGTTCATGACGAAAATAAAACAAACAACCATGTTCATAATCATCATGTCACGAATCAAAGCACAAGGAAAAGAATACTAAATTATCGGAAGTTGTTCGATTCAATTCCCTTCTCGATCCGCTGCTCCTCTCGAGTGGTCGCGATCGCCGCCAAGCGCTCCTGCTTCCCACTCGTTCCGCGCTGCCTCCTTTCTTTTCTTTCGTCCCAGAATTCTCGGTCCCCTCTGGCCCTTGAATTCCACTCGTCCTTCTCCAATTCTCAATTAATCGCCTCCATCAATTGGGCTTTGGCCCAATTACTTGTTGTGCACTCACTTCTTTTTCGTGCTTTCTCCGCCTGTAACATATCAAACTCATGGCACTAGGCAATAATGGTTTTTCAACCATTTCCGGGTTAGCGAGCCCTAAAATAACACAAATTGGCTTAAACATATCATGAGATATGTCACATAAAACTCACAAATCCGATATATTAAAGCCGATTATCAGTTTCCAAACTTGGTGATTTGTGTTGTTGCATAACTCCTAACTTATCATTTATGAAAGACAATTAATTGTTTCCCAGTTGAGTTTAACGGGTTATATCTCTTTCGTTTTAAGTCGTAATTGATTTTTTCAATGAAAAATAATATGAATTGTAATATTCAAAATGGCATTCACTTTTATATATTTTAGAACGAAAGGTTGAGACATTTATTGACAGTCCATGCATGTGGATATGTGGTAATGCTTGGTAGTTTGTGAGATTATATCATATGCTATGAAAATGTACCATGGTTGTATAAATATACCATAGTATAAAATGATTGTATACATGATAGTAAGTATATATTAATGGCCATTTATCACTTTTCATCACCATCTACTACTGGTTACTAACCTATAGTAGGATGGAATATGATGGTATATTTGGTCTTGAAATTTTATACCTCAGAAATACGTAGATCCAATAGATCACGATTAACTCGTTCCTTAGGGGTAAAGTTTTTTTCAAAATTCGAGTTAAAAATGAAAGTGTTACTAGGGTGGTAAGGAATAGTATGGGTGGTACGAAAAAAAATTATCGAAATAAATGGATATTATTTATTTTATAGGAACATGTATGCAATAAATGGATATCATTTTGTAGATCACAACCAACCTGTTCCACCTGTGAAAAATGTTGAAATCCCAGTTAAAACAAGTAAAATAAAAGCCAATTAAAATTGTGGGAAAAAAAACCCTTTCATTTCACTCTTAGATCTAGACAAACTTAAAATCAAAAGCTCATATCTGATTTTTTCGAATGTTGTGCACCCTATAGTTATGCACTCTATCTTGGAAAATTTGTTTATTTTGACGCACTAATAATTTTTAAATTTGGTGATTTATGTTGTTGCTTAACCCCACTTACCATTTATGGAAGACAATTTTTTTTTTTCAATTAATGTAACGGGCTATATCACTTTCGCTTTAATTCATAATTGATATTTGTCCACAGACTAATCAGATTGATTGTACTCTTCAAATTGACATCCACTTTGATATATTTTGGGGAAAAATTGAGACATTTATTACCTGTCCAAACCATGTGCTAATGCTTGGTAGTATATAAAATTATACCATGTGGTATGAAAGTGTATCATGGTGGTATGAATGTACAAAAGTGTAAACCGATTGTATATGGTATAAGGTGGTATATTTGGTCCTGAAATTTTGTTCCTCATAAATTTGTAGATCCAATAGGTCATATGATGAATCTGTTCCTTATGGGTACATCTTTTTAAAATTTGAGTTAAAAATGAAGGTGATACTAGGGTGGTAATGAGTAGAATGTGTGGTAAGAAAAAAAAATTCTTGAAATATATTGAAAATTGATATGTATATCACAACCAACCCATTCCATATGCGCAAAATTTTATGAAATTTAAGTTAAAACGAGAAAGATAACATCCAAATAGAAAGTAGGGAAATAAAAAGGCCCTTCAATCTCATCTCTTAGATATGGACACACTTAAAATCAAAGGTTCATATCTGATTATGTAAGGGTTATGCACTCTATCTCGAATCGTTGGCTTCTTTTCACGCACTGGTAATTTCTAAATTTGGTGATTTGTGTTGCATATCCTTTTGTGCAATTTTAGTCTAACAAATCATTAGGACAATACTCAAAAGAAAAATGTATATTCGAGTCTCTCTAAGTAATTTGTAAGTGTTTTGTTTGTTATTTAGTTGGTTTGAACTATTGCCTTTACTTGAAAATGGGCAAACAAAGAGCACTATTACTATGCTAATAGGTAATAGCATTGGTGTTTTAATGTATAACTTGAAGTTGTACCATAACATTAAATGTATAAGTTTATGTTGTACCATAAAGGAATTTGTACAATTATATTATGATACAACTTTACAACTTGAAGTTGTACCATCACATAAAGGTACAAGTTCAAGTTGTACCATAAAAGAATTTGTACAAAATGTATAGTTATAATCTGAAGTTGTACCATAACGTTAAAGGTACAATTTCAAGTTGTACCGTAAAAACAAAAAGGTTTACCGATGTTGTAGTTTCTCACTCTTTGAAATTTAGAATTAAAATTAAAATATTTTGAATAAGGAAAAGGCATTGCACTATGATTGATTGTTCGATAATGAAAACGTACATGCTTTTTTAAAACAAAATAATTAATGAAACTATTAACCGGCCATTAGGCCGGGCATAGATACTAGTTGTGAAAACGGAAGTTGTGGGAGAAGTTATAGTGCAAACTTTATAGGAGTTAGCACCATGCTAACCTTCATAATTAACATCCATTAATTTTAGTTGAGACTGACGGTGATATGCAGTTGAAGGTATATTTGGTATTTAGAAAATAAATAAATTTAAAATATCCATTTTCTCTCCGTAATAGAGATTTACCACGTAACTGCTGAAAGGTACTACTAGTTAAATTCGTAGCGGTTTTGGTGGATATAATAGCTATTTTAAATTTCTTGTAATGAGTTAATTGTTATTAGTAGTGGTTTATTAGTAATTAGGTGATAGAAACTGAAATAAACAAATAAGATCACTATTACTTAGTAGTTTACAATCACTACTAATAGATAAAAAATTGCTACGAAAAAATACCTACGATATAATCACTACTAATATGAATCACATTAGTAATACGAACCACTGCTAATACGAATCACAATCACTACAGAAAAAACACCACTAACACAAACTAGCTTATACCCCGGCCCGTTGGCCGGAGAATTTGATATGTACATAGAGTGTACTCGATTTAAAGTATTTGGGATATATCTATATAGTGTACTCAACTTTGAAATATATGTGATATATAAGTAGTTCATTTCCGTTTGTAATTCTTTACGATTGAGGTTATCTCACAACATAACAAATAGGAAATATGAAGAATCATCATTTTGGTCGTAATTAGAGTGTTATCCTGCCTTATATAGAGGTACTGATATCGGTAGAAGCCTGGACTGAAGATGTTTGAGCATGGCGGTGCCTTCAAATGTTGTCTTTGATAGCGAGAAAATTAGGAGATGCATTTCGTCAAGTTCTTCAAATTGCAGGTTCACGAATTCAATCTCAACATATGTACACCATATGAGGTTACTAAAATTTAAGTCCAAGCAAGCAAAATCCAATGAAGTAAATTTCGGTATGAATGTAAAAATAATTCAATTTAGTCGTTCTCGTTCTACAATAGTTTCTTGTTGGGTAGGATCATTCAACCAAAGACCATATAAAACACCAAACAAAGGGTCAATCAAGCTAACCTCAAAGCATGCATTTTGAAAAGATTAATCACAAACTGACTTCAAATGTTCGAGATGTTTCACTAATAAAATGCCAGACATACAAAATATGGTACTACAAATAAACAATTCTTGCTTTCATTCGGGACTTGTACAATTGCATTGACGTAATTTCTTTGTGTGTGCATAACATAGCCATAAGTTAGTCTCAAAGGATTTCTTCAACAAATTCTTCTCCCAAGATGTTGGTGTATTACCAGCCATGACGTGTATGCGCTCTTATTTCTGTCTATAGGGTCCAGAGATATTTAATTTTCATAGTTAAGATAAACATAAAACTGGGGTATCAGGATATCAACTCGACCAATCATTTCTTCAGTAATCATAAAATTCATGGGGACCAAGGATTGACCGTATGATACTCAGTTCGGTATACTCCAATCCAAATGTCGGTTTGATCTGGTACAAACTGGAGCATTACAAAACCCCTACCATCAATAAAGAATAATCCCAACTACACCACCAAAAGGTTCGAATGATTCTATAAACTTGATATACCCATCACTCGAAATGTCAAAGTGGCATGCAAGCACAAAGACAAAAGGAGAAGGACATGATAGAATGCAGCTCTCGGACCTGAATGAACTAAGTAAACACACTTTCACCCTACAGTAAAAGGCATTTAGAGAATTCTCAGCCTAACATTGAACCCACCATCGTTTTTGAGCTTCTATAGCCTGAGATTCACATAGTATCCCTTCAGAGATTATTCAACCTCGGTCAAATTATGCAAGATGCAACCTTTGTCTACCAGAAACTTATGTTATACAAACTACCATAAAATTTGGAAAACAATATGCAGGGGAATTTGACAGGAAAAGCACAACAAACAACATGTAACACATGGCCTGGTCAAATATGCAGTGGAAGACTTCATTATTTTAAAATACTACCTTGAAAGCATTGAGCAATTTAAGCTTACACGTAACCCGCATCCTCACTTACTGAAATCAATTATTGAATGTACGACCATGGTTTAAACTGCTATATATGTGAAAAAGGGTCAAACAGCATACGTAAGCACGATAAAAAGAAAGAAACATTGCTGAACCAAAGAGAAGGAATCAACTCAACAAAGAAAACTTAAATCAGTTACAAAGAGAAGGAATCAAAATATATAAAAAGAACGCTGATGAATATGTAAACATGGAAATTTTTTGCACCTCTAAGAGAGTTGAAAGATCCTTCGTAGTAGAGCATGGCGCTCGAAATCCCATCACACTACAGCAGCAGGGAAATTTTCCTTTGCAAAGAAGCACCCGTAGCGAAACTCCACGGTCTAAAGATGCCAACTTGCTCTTCCTCAGTTGCTTCCAGAAGCCCCGCTGGGATCGTGAATTTTTTCATTATGGTTAGTAGGAAATATGTTACAGTTTACCCGTGAAGCTCTTTGAATTCACAGTGAAATGGAAGTCGATGAAGCTGGCTAAACATAAACCATGTCCTGGCCGTGGGTTTTTGCATAGATATTAAAAGTTTCTGGGGGCATTTGTTGTCAAGGTGGCTCATTTATGAGGCGAAGAGTGATCTAACCCAAGTCTAGATAGCTAAAGGATTATATCTTATCAAATAAACAAATCTAAAAGGCAACAGGGTAACCAATCCAAGCTTTCAAGCAGTGAACATAACAGATAAATACTTCTTGTGTGAGTGAAAGTTAAAGACAGCACAAAATAGCAGCAAAGCAAGAGTAACGATGAGTACATAAAGAACCTACAGCAAGCAACGAAAAAATACTCTCAATCCAACCTATCATCTACGTTCACGGCCAAAGTAAGATAGCCTCAAATTCTCATTCTAACCTCCATCCAAAAAATAAGTATCATTGCAAGAAATAAAGAAAAGTGGATTCAAAATTGTATGAAACCAGACATTCAAGATTACTTTATCAAAGAGAAAACTATATCAGTTCAAGAAACCAGAATCAAATATTTCAATGAAAATGCAGAAGCAAGCAAAACTCTCGCATTGAAAGTTCGAAGTATCCGATCAAGCATAGCAGGAAGTACCCAACAAATGAAGGTACATAGTAGTTGCAAAGGAAGCTTTCAATTTCAACTCCGTCACTCTATGTTCCTGCAGTTTGCCTGGCCATTACTGTGGGAATTGAATACAGATCTTAGGCTTCAGCTCATTAGGAGGGAGACTTACAGAGATTGGGGAACGACATAAATAGAGAGAGAGACTTACATAGATTAATCAGCCTTCCTGATACTTGGTGCAAAACTCCGAGAGCTTGGGTTATCTTCTAATTATCCTGTAGAAATCAGGACGGAACAACATTCATACACTTTCAAACCAACCAGTTCTCTAAAAGGGCTGCAAGGGGGAAGAATCTCTGCAACTAAAATCAGCTATGAGGAAGAAGAAGATGAGTTAAAAAAAATATATTACCTTGATTCATGAGCAAGTCCATGATAGCCTCAGTAAGCCTCCTACCCCTAATTGCTATATCTGATCGCTGCTTCATCTTGGCAGTCCTTGTCTACACAACAATCACAAAACCAACCATCAAATAAAACTAAAATGAAAACAAATTTGGATTCATTTATGACTTTCCAAATATGTCCCCTTCCACCCTCACATAGCTCGATGGGCATTTCACCTGGCAAGGGGAGGATTGTAGCGACACCAGGAGCGACCAAGATAAAGAAACACTTCCCTAAAGGTAATGGAGGCTGTCGCAGACCAAGAAAGCGCAATACCAGACAAAAGAATCACTAAAATTGATGCAAAAGGATAATAATCGGGAGATGAAGGTAAAACAATTAGGACAGATGAACCGACCAATTTGAAGCGAGTCCTCCTTATTGCAGTGTGAACCTTGGTGTTGCGAGGATGGAGAAATAGGGATTCAGAGTGGGAGGAGGTACTTCGATAGTTTGCGGTGGAGAAGCGGCACCGGCAATTCGCGTTGCTGGTATAAGGTGAGAAAGAATGGAAATCAGCGGTTGCGGGGGCTTGACAGAAGCTTTTTCCCAGTAATAAAATAAGGAGATCCTACAATTGCCCCTAGCGAGAATGAAGGAGAAGCCAAGGATTTCAAAACGGATAAAAGCAGCCGAAGAACTGTTATATATTATAGGAGGATAATAGAGTTATCACAAAACCCAGTGGCTTGTATCCATGTCTTTTTCCCAATGAACGATTCCACCACCGCCATCACCGTTCTTCCCGATGAAAGATTACACTGCCGCCATCGTCAGTCCTGTCTCCACTGTCTCCAAACTTTTGATAGAGGACTTGGAAGACGACACACACATCCCACGATGACGATTCGAATCTCGCTTGCAGGGATTTGATGCATGCTATGGAGGAATCGCCAGACGGTCAAAAACGTTGACTCCGGGACTCGCATGACGATCTCGAATCTCCGCAAGGCTTTCCCTACCCAAGTGAATGATGTAAGTGGGGCTGGAGCGGAATCGCCCGACGACATTCTTGATGGTGTTATTGTGGATCGACAGATCTGATAGAGAGAGGATGGCACAGAGGGAGTTCATTTTAGGAGAGAGAGAGAATGGGGAGGGGTAGTGGGGCGGCCATGAAGGTGGAGAGAAGTGGGTAGAGTTCTTTGGGTTAATTGCACATCATACCATATAAGTATTAAGTTTGTTGCACACTTACCACTTAAATTATTTTAGTTGCAACTAAATCATATAAGTCGGTTTTTAGTTGCATCATTAAATTTTCCATCCATAAATTTAACGTTGTGTGTCAAATTGTAATTTTCCATTCCACGTTGGCATTCCAGCTCAACCTAACTACTGAGATAGTGGACCTTCTCTATCATTTTTCCTCTCTGCTGTTCCTCTGTTTTTGTTTCCGAGACCTTCTGTCTATAATATGATTCATTCATCCAATCCTTCTTTGGAGGCCTCCACGACACAATTTCCCCCGGAACAAGCTCTACTTCGGCCTCACATTCGACGATCTCGCCATCTTTTCAAAGACATGGCCGGTCGGCGCCAATCCGGGCGCAATGGTGCGCCATGTCTCTGCTTTCTATCGCACCGTCGCCGACAAAGGCCACGAGATCCATTTGTATGTAAATGAACAATGGGGCCCATGCCCAACGATGGAAAAACTTCTGGCGTTCTCAAAATCGGGATTACCGATGTCGAATGCAAAAGGTACACCTCCCAAATCCCAAGTTGCATGCTCTGGAAGTTCTTGGCAAAAATCAACTCCTGGGTATTGTTCCTTTTCTTGAATGTGATGAAATTATAGGGTGATTTTTGTGAATACTCAAGTGAGGCACGTGGAGTTGGGTGATTAATTAGATTATTATCTTGTAGCGTCCATCTTTTTCAATTCGATCTCCCCATTGTTCTGTTCATGATCGTCCAGTTGGTTTCTGGTTGAATTGCATGTTGGATATGAGAATTAGGGAATTATTCAAGCTACTGGTTTCCCTCTTCGTGTTTTGAATTTATTTACTAATTGTTTACGGTAAATTGTTAGGCTTTGTTGCTTGTTTCATTTTTGCTTTCAATTTTTCTTTGTCGAGGCAGGCAAGGGGAGGCTGAAGGTCATGGGGAGAGCCGGAGTCGGGAATGAAGAGAGCTATCTCCATCAGTGCCAGTCAACAACTAGCTTAGTGACATTGAAGCAGGCTATGCCCAAACAACGACGAATGCAGTGCAACGAGTAGAAGGGATTCGTCAACGATTCCAAAAGAGACACCTGGATTTTTTTGGCCCGGATGAGTCGGAACGCCTACGTGGAATGGAAAACTACAATTTGGTACCCACCATTAAATTTAGGGATGAAAAATGTAACGATGCAACTAAGAATCGACATGTATGCTTTAGTTGCAACTAAAATAATTTAAGTGGTTAGTGCGCAACAAACTCAATACTTATATGGTATGTTGTGCAATTAACCCGAGTTTTTTTTATATTAGGGTTTAAGTTATATTGCTATAATATCCTTCAATTAGTTTTAACCATAGAATTATTATTTTAATCTAATGGATGTTAATGAAGTTAGTACGGTGTTAACCATTTAGAGAGTTAGCAACTCATCTCATCCCGGAAGTTGCTATACCACCGAGCATTACAAACACAATTTCAAATTGGCCAACCGGGAGACCGACGAACCCATAGGAGTGGTGCACGAGCGAACCACAAACGCGAGTAATCTTTGTTTATTTGATATTTGTGAATTATGATGATCTTGTGGTGCTTGGATTTGATGTCTTGCTAGTTGGTACTTGGTAATGCATAAATTCTACATGTTTTTAGATCCCTTTCAAGCCTCTGTGCTTGGACATTTCATCAATAATTCAATGTTTTTGCCATATTTACGCTTCGTTTGTTATTTTTGTGTGTTCCAAGTCATGATGAATGATTTTGATGATATTTGGACAAGAAATAAACAAAGTACGAAAGATTAGAGCTTTAGGGAATTTAGAAAGCTTTCAAATGACTTTTTGGAGGTTCTCACGGCTAGCCTCACGCCCACGGTCAAGATCCTGAAAATTAGCCAGAATTTCTTACGAAGAGATTTCATGTCGAGTGACTCACGGCTACTCCCACAGTCGTGAATTGGACCTTGAGCATTGAGCAACCACGGGTCGTGAAGGAAGCCTGAAGTTTGCCCAAAGCGACGTCGGTCCATTTAAAGTATCAGGCAAGATTTTAGTTCACGGGTGGTCTCATGGTCGTGATTGTACTCGTGAACGACCTTCTGCCTTGTCCATTTAAGCGTCTATAAGCCTAATTGTAAAAGGGAGTTTGACACAAAACCCTAAAATCGATTAGAAACGAGCTTGAGAGTAGGAGTGGAGGTTCTCCACCCATCCTACCCCAAAGTTGTCCCCTTGGAGCATCCAGTCAAGTCACCAAGATGGAAATCTGTTCTTCCTTCTATCCTTTGTTCATTTTTCCATTCGCCATGAACTAATCCTCCTTTGTTGTTTGGATTATATGAACCCTAGTTGTATGATACTGATTTGATTAAGAATGCATGGATGTGGATGTTTATGATCTTTGATTTGTTTATGGATTATATTTTGAGTATGCTCTAGATGCACACTCATTGCATGCTTGTATGTTTCGTGTGCATGTTGAGGAGAATATCCTCATAGATTTGATTTAACACTGGTAGATAAAAATGACATCGACTTACTAGAATATGGAGAGAGAGAGAGGGACTTCTGGATTAGGGTAAAACCTAATAGGTGGATTCATAGAGCGATAATCGTGAGGAGAATCAATCTGGTTCAGAAGAATATCATATCTAGATTAAATCTACTAATAAGGTGTTACTACATGAGAATATCGGGTTAACATCAATTCTAGAATTCCTACGGTCGAAGAATATAATATTGAGTCTATGCATGTTCGATTGAAATGTATGATCAATTAGGGGATTCAAAATCTAAACACCGTCTTTCTCTGCTTGAATTTGTCTCGTAATCACGTTTGCCTTTGATAAATTTCATTGTCATGTTAGTTGGTTTAGTTAATTGAAAGAAACTAAAAAGTGATAGGTTAAATAATAAGAAATACAACTAATTACTAGTAGTATATAGTCTTTGTGGCATACGACATGCTTGCCACTATATTGCCTACGACATGTACACTTGCCTTATTTAGTCACACTTAGAAAAAAGGCGATCAATACTCTCTAATTGGATGAAGAATTTTGACTATTTATAATTTTATGTGTTGGAATTTGAATTAAGAATTTATGATAGATGTTATACTGTATTGATATTGTTTCTTATAATTGTTATTTTATGTCAACAATATAACAGCGTAGTTATATTTTTTAATTATTCTCATGATTATATTTTAGTATTAAAAATGACAAATACAAAATTTCATAAAAAAAGCCGCTTGTGGAGGTTGTTATTGGTTAGTGATTAACCGTCAAACTAACTGATAACAGGTAATTAACCAATAAGCTACATTGATTTGATTTTCGTATGCATTTTTTATTCAGTGGTTAACCAAATCGATCAGCACCCTTATAGTGACTTGATTGGGGAGCAGATCCGGTGAGTAACCCCATGCATAACCCAATAAGAATCTGCCACATCAACACCTCCTTCTCTCTCCTGAAAAAATCATTAATTTTCTTTCCCTTAATCTTTAACGAACGATTTCTCACTCGTTTTAACTCGGAATTTAAATAACAGCATACCATATAGTATGAAAAATACCACCTCATAGCAGGGTGGTATATTATGGTATGGAGTTGGTAACAATTCAAAATGATATCCACTTTGATAATTTTTTGAACAAAAAAATTTTGCCTGTTATTACCAATCAATACCACATGGTATTTTGACTGTTATTAAATAACAGCATACCATATGGTATGAAAAATACCACCTCATACCAGGGTGGTATAGTATGGTATGGAGTTGGTAACGAGAGGTATGGATTTTTTTCCCCCGAAAAATTTTGAAATCCAATAGATCGTGATTAAATCGTTCTTTTTGTGCAAAAATTTCCGAAAATGACTAAACAACGAAGGAGATACCATATGGTATGGAGTTGGTAACGAGAGGGATGAAAAAAAAATTCTAAAAAAATATTGAAAATGGATATCATTTTGTGCACAACGAACTCGTTCCATCTGTGCAAAAAAAAATTGAAATCCGAGTTAGAATGAAGAAGATATGATCCAATTAAGAAAACTAGGGAAAATAAATTTCTTTAATTCTCCACCCTTAGATCTGCAACCACTTAAAAGAATGGTCCAGATTTGGTTACTCATTGTTACTCACCCTAAAGTTACTCACCCTATCTTGAGCCACTTGATTGTTCGTTAAAGTATCAAATTTGGCTAGGAATAGGATAAACTCTGGAATATCGGTGACCAATTTTATTCCTCAAGTTCATATAGCAAAATAACTGGCTTAGAATAAGGTCAGTAACCAATGATTACTAACTTATGAGTAACTAAATCTGGACCTTTAGATTTAAGTGGGTCCAGAAAATTCAGATCTAAGGGTTGTCAATTAAATACATTTTATTTTCCCTAGTTTTCTTAATCGGCTTCTTCGTTTTAACTCGGATTTGAATTTTTTTTGCACACATGGAACGAGTTCGTTGTGCTCTACAAAATGAGATCAATTTTAAATATATTTCGAGAAACTTTTTTTGCCAACTACATACCATATGGTAACTTCTTCGTTTTTAAGTCATT